TGTCTTCTTTGCAGAAATGTCTGTTCATGTCCTCTGCCCATCTCTCGATTGGATTATTTGTTCTTTGGGTGTTGAGTTTGGTAAGCTCTTCATAGATTTTGGATACTAGCCCTTTATCTGATATGTCGCTTGCAAATATCTTCTCCCATTCTGTCAGTTGTCTTTTGGTTTTGTTAACTGTCTCCTTGCTGTGCAAAAGCTTTTGATATTGATGAAGTCCCAATAGTTCATTTTTGCCCTTGCTTCCCTTGCCTTTGGCAATCTTCCTAGGAAGAAGTTGCTGAGGCTGAGGTCGAAGAGGTTGCTGCCTGTGTTCTCCTCAAGGATTTTGATGGATTCCTTTCTCACATTGAGGTCCTTCATCCATTTTGAGTCTATTTTCATGTGTGGTGTAAGGAAATTACATAATATTTTTGTGTGTGATGAAAACTTTAGGATTTATTCTTAGCAACTTTCAAATATACATCATTAACTATGGGCACTATGCTGTACATTATATCCCCATGATTTATTTTATAGCTTGAAGTTTATACTTGTTGATCCCTTCACCCATTTTGCATGTCCGCAGCTCTCCACCTCTGGCAACCACCGATCTGTTCTCTGTATCCTTGAACTTATTTTTTTATATTGATGATATTTTTTTATATTCCACAAATAAGTGATATCTTATGGTATTTGTCTTTCTCGGACTTATTTCACTTAGTATAATGACCTCAAGGTCCATTCATGTTGTAGTGAACAGCAAGATTTCCTTTTTTTAATGACTGAATAATCTCCCACTTCATGTATGTATATATATGTGTATGTATACATATCCCATTTTCCTTATCCATTCATCCATCAATAGACACTTAGGTCCTTTCAATATCTTGGCTATTGTAAATAATGCTGCAATGAACATAAGGATGCATATATCTTTTTTATTTAGTGTTTTCATTTCCTTCAGATAAATACCCAGAAGTAGAATTTCTGGATATGATAGTTCTATTTTAATTTTTTGAGGAAACTCCATAGTGCTTTCCATAGTGGCTGTACAAATTCTCAACAACAGTGCACAAGAGTTCCCTTTTCTCCACACTCTCACTAACACTTATTTCTTACCTTTTTGATAAGTCATTCTAACAGGTGTGAGGTGATATTGTGGTTTTGGTTTGCATTTCCCTAAGGATTAATGGTTTTGAACACATCTTCATGCATGTGCTGGTCATCTGTATATCTTCTTTGGAAAAATGTCTATCCAGATTTTTAAATCAGATTTTTTGCTATTGCTTTGTATGGATTCTTTATATATTTTGAATATTGGTACCTTATCAGGTATACGATTTGTAAATATTTTCTCTCATTTGTTAATTTGCCTTTTCATTTTATTGATGGTTTCCTTTGCTGTGAAGACTCTTTTTAGTTTGATGTAGTCCTAGTTGTATATTTTTGCTTTGACTACCTTTCTTTTTGGTGTGTACAAAAAATCACCAAGACCCATGTCAAAGAGTTATTGCTTGTGTTTTCTTCCAGGAGTTTTATGTTTTCAGGTCTTACATTCAAATCGTTGATCCATTTTAAATTAAGTTTTGTATATGGTGTAAGATAGAAACCAGTTTCATTCTTTTGCATGTGGCTGCCCAGTTTTTCCAACACCATTTATTGAAGAGACTGTCTTTTCCCCAGTATATATTCTTGGCTCCTCTGTCATAAATTAACTGACCATATACGCATAGGTTTATTTCCCGGCTTTCTATTCTGTTCCACTGATCTACATGTCTATTTTTATGCCAATACCATAATGTTTTGTCTGTAATTTATTTTTCTTGATAGTTGGATATGATGTACTATGTAAAAGAAACTGCTATAAACAGGCCTTTAGTAATGTGGTAGTAAAGTGTGAAGGGAGGGGAAGTGTTTTGAAACCCTATGATTTGGTCTTAGTCTTTAGTGACTAAGTCAGAGTGACACTATGACTCTAGATTGTAAATTTCACAAGTGTTCATCAGTTTTGTTCTTCTCCTTTAGGTATAAGAGGATGCATAAAGTGGGCCAGAGTTGGATATTTCCTTTTTTCCATGTGGAAGGCCAGAGTTGACTGGAATTGAGTACTTTCTTTTCTACTAGGTCAGTTAGGTAGTAATCTCTCTGGTTAGGCCCTGATTAACTAGTTTTCCTGAAAGCAGGCCTTATTACAAAAAGACAGAATGCCCTGGCATATTTTAAAAGCTCCTGATTGGGCGCCTGGGTGGCTCAGTGGGTTAAGCCACTGCCTTTGGCTCGGGTCATGATCTCAGGGTCCTGGGATCGAGTCCCGCGTCGGGCTCTCTGCTCAGCAGGGAGCCTGCTTCCTCCTCTCTCTCCGCCTGCCTCTCTGTCTACTTGTGATCTCTCTGTCAGATAAATAAATAAAATCTTAAAAAAAATAAAATAAAAGCTCCTGATGACAGAAGTATGAGGGGATTTTTTTTTATATTTATTGTGAGAATCAGGTTGAGTACCTGAAGATAAATGACACAGAATTGTGGAGGGCCTTCTTAGGACTGGGTCTCTCTGAAGTTTTTAACTTTCAGAGCTGTTCACACTGAGTCTCCAGCAAAATGTAATTCCAGTTCCAGTTTTGAGTTTCTGCTCTTAAAAGCTGTGACTCCCTATATTTGCTTGACTCTAGTCTTTGGAGCAGTGGTTTACCTTGTATACTCCCTGTTATAAATTTAAGAAGAGTTGTTGATTTTTCAGTTTGTTGAGCTTTTTACTTGTTAGAATGATGTGGCAACTTCCAAGCTCCTTACAAATGCAACCAGAACCCAGAATGCCAGTCTTTGAAATGCTTTATTTATGATAATTCAACTTGTAAATTTAGTAATAAGGAATATCAATAAGTTATTTCTTTTGCCCCAATGTAATGAAATTAACCTATCACTATATAATTGGGTTGGTTTGGCAATCAACATTTTAAAAAATGAAACAATTGAATTAAAGGTATCTGAAGTACATCACAGGTAGTTAGGGTGAGTACATTTTAAGGCAATATATTTTTTAAGATTTTATTTTTAAGTAATCTCTACACCCAACATGGGGCTCAAACTCACAAACCTGAGATCAATATTTTTTATTTTTTTGTAAACATATAAAAGCATGACCTAAACATGCTTCACTGAGCCAGCTGCCTCTAATGTAATATTTCTTAATGCAGATCATAGAAAAAATTTTGAAAGATTATCATGTTAAGGAATGAAAAATTTGTTGTATATACTTGAAATGTAAAATGACCTTAGGGAAAAAAGTACTGATTAAAATATCAAAGTACTTTTAGGGACACCTGGGTGGCTTGGTCGGTTAAATTTCTGCCTTTGGCTCAGATCACAATCCTAGGGTCTGGGGATCAAGTCCTGCATTGGGCTGCTTGCTCAGAGGGGGAGCCTGCTTCTCCCTCTGCCTACTTCTCTCTCTCTCTGACAAACAAAAATTTAAAAAATCTTAAAAAAAAACCAAACTACTTTTAAATAAAATTTTAAAACAGAGATGTTAGTGTGAGAAAAAATAAGGTTCACCATTATCTTATTTACTTGGATCCCATATATGGAAAGTTCATGAATTATGATAACTTAATAATTAAAATTGGATTTTAGTTTACTTTTATATTAAAAAGAAAAGAGGTTACCTGAAAAATTCAAATGTATGTGAAATGGGACTCATTTGCATATAGATACATGAATCTTTATCCCTATGCCTAAATACTGAAAATCTAAAACTATTTTACTTTTATTAAAATCAGTTAAATCTTACAATCCAGCAGAAGCAGCATGTCACTTAGATTGGAAATTTAGCAATCAGATGCATGGATATGGATTCCAGCATCAATACCCACTGATATGGTGACCTTGGGCATGCCACTGAATCTAAATGTTAATTTTCTAATTGGTAAAATGGGAATTATGTACTTCTGTGACAGTTGGAAACAAATCATAAAAATATGAATGCACACATGTTCAAGAAGCTTAACAACCTAACATGCTATGTAATTGTTAGGTGTCATCACCAAGTAGATAATAAAATTCTTGTTCAAGTAGAAACAAAGCACTTTTTTAAATTTTTCCTCCTCTCCTAAAACAAAAAGTCTCAAGTGCTAAATGTCTTATGAAGTACTTTATCAATTTCATTGCTTTACTTAATTCACTGTAAATGGAGGTGTTTTCACCTATATTTTTATATACAGAGTTTAAAAAAAACACAAGTCTTTCTGACGATTTTACATGAAACTCAAGTAAGTACTATCTCACTATTCTGGAAAGGTAAATTAACTGTTATTGTGAAAGGGTTAACTAGCTGAGCTGTAAACAAATTTACTAAGGAAATATACAACATATTGAAAAACAGGTTGTTTTACTTAATACTATATGTACAAATAGGGCTGCCAATTACAAATAAGTGGTACCATTAAAGTACCAGAGGCCAGGTCCCTACCTGAAAATGGCTTTTGGTTGTTCAAGTTAATAAATACTACTAATAAAAAAAAACCTTGAAGATAAAAATTCTTTATTTTTCAAAACATTACATTTTTAAAAAGATTTAATTTATCTGAGAGAGAGAGAGCAAACATGAGGTGGGGGTGCAAGGGGCAGAGGGAAAAGGAGAAGCAGACTCCCTATTGAACAAGGAGCCCGATGCTGGTCCTTGGGATCATGACCTAAACAGAAGGCAGATGCTTAACCGACTCAGCCACCCAGGGCATCCCCCAAATTCTTATTTATTTATATATTTATTTATTTATAGATAATCTCTGTACCAATGTGGGGCTCAAATCTACGACAACAAGATTAAGAGTTGTACACACTACTGAGCCAGCCAGGTGCCCCCAAAATAAAAATTCTTGTTATAAATAAGTGTGTAATGTACCTGATTGGTCTTCCTACAAAACTGATCTCATTAATACAGGTTTTAATCAAACTTTCATGTATTAAGAACACTTAACGTTATAGCATTTAGCTTTAAATTAGTCACAAGAGTATCAGACTCACCTTGATTGTGCCGCCAACAACTTCCATTACCTTGCCTCGATACCACATAGTATCTGATCCTCTTACTGCACAGGCTTCTCCCTTTTTCCAGAAATAAGGCTCCAAAAGACCAAGGCATTTTAAATTATTTTGAATTTCATTCATCATTTTTATTAGCTCGAGTTCTGAAGAAATTATTAAAAATAGAAAGCATTTAGGAAGAATTTACTGCCATTTTCAATATGAAATCATCAATAACCTTTAATAATTTCACCACCTTGACAAAAGCATAAGGAATCAACAGAGTTTTAATAAAGATCTAATTCAGTCAGGGCACCTGGGTGGCTCAATCAGTTAAGCATATGACTCTGAGTTTAAGTTCAGGTCATGGTCTCATGCATCCGGAGATTGAGCCCTGCCACTATCAGCATGGAAACTCCCTGAGATTCTCTCTTTCTACAACTCTGCCCCTTCCACCATGTGCCTGCATGTGCCTTCTCTCTCCCTCCCTAAAATAAATAAACCTTTTCAAAAAAATCTGATTCATTCATAGCTTCTATATGTTTCAAAACATACTACTAACATGTAAATAACTATTCTGTTCTCTGGTTATGAATGCAAGCATTATTTTGGGAGTAAAGCATCATTAAAAGCTCTAAACACATACTAGATAGCCTAATATAAAGGAACTACCACTTTAAGATAAGTCATTTTGCCAACATACCTAAGTAAAAATAGAACACAAGTCAGGTGTTACTTGATACTTAGATAGATACAGCATAATGCTGGGATATAAAATTAAAATTCTGATATTGCTACTCACTGCTAATTGGATCATCAATTCCATAGTAAATACATAACCCCATATAGCACTGAAAGCAAAGTGTGGGGTCAATTCCCATAAGAGTTCTACCACTTTAGTTGTGTGATTTTGGGGTTGTTCCTTTACCTCTATAAGCTTCAGTTTATTCTATAAACCTGGTATAATAGAACTTATCTCCATTATCAATACTGTGCAGGATTAAATGTAAAACATCCAGAACACTTCCTGAAACATAGTAGTCAACCAGTTTTAGCTATGACTATATAAAGGTTAAGAAAAGTTTCTGGATTAAGTACTACTGCTGAAAGTCTCAAACACTGTTCTCTTCTAGTATAGCCAATTGCACAGATTTATTTTTGAGTTAAAAAACAGTATTTAGGAGGTCAACAAATGAAACAAAAATTTCAACAAATTCACAGCCACCTATCTATAGGTGGACTTACTATGGATTTCATGGAACTTTAAGACCCATGAGTGTTAAGAGTTATTGTCAGTTATAAAGTATTCTGGACACATCTAGGCTGTAGTAAGGAAATACTTGTACATAAATCTCAGGAAGGACTTGAATATTCTCAAAGGGCCCCCAAACTCCAACCATTCACTGTGATTTCTGTCCTCATTCTGAATGAATATAAACTTCTGTATCTTTTTTCTTAGAGAGCCTCCAAACTTGTGTAAGTGCCAGGTCTTACAAATCTGGAACCACTCCCATGCTTAACTTAGGCCCAGTGTCTATTCCCAGTGTTTCAATAAATGATTTTTATGTGGAAAGCACTTTGTTTGAGTTATTTCATTTAACCTCACAACAAACCTGTGAAAATGAGGTTAAATCTTGCCCAAGGTATTTCAGCTTATAATTTACTAGAGAATTGGAGCTGCTAGTTACTCCTTGTACTGATTAATTCCACATAACATAAAATATATTACCTGACAATTTAGGTACTACAAATATAGTTCCATCATCGCCAATACAGCTGACAATTGCCTCAAATACTTTCATGTTAGGAATAGCTGGTGGTTTGTAGCATCCAGTGGTTCTTGGTTCTGGAATTTTCTGCTGAAATTCAGATACCCTGTACTCACTAATAACATCAGCAGCTTTTTTGTTAGGGTCAAAGTTAATCTTAATACACTTAGTAACCATTGAGTCTTCTTGTTCCAAGGGGATTTCCAGAGACTTCTCAGATGATGAATAGCTGTTATTTAATTTTGTAATTCTGTAACATCCAAAAAAAATATTATATCTAAACATGATCAAATAAAAACATTCTGTGGAAAGCAATATAAAAAGAGTCCTTCAGATATACTGGGAATTTAAAGAATATATTTGCTCTAGTCTAGGATACATTAGTCTAATTTGTTACATAAAATGAGCATAATTTAGGTAATAATAAAAATTATTTTAAACTGTAAGTGAGCCTGATGAGAAGAAAATTGATAAACTGCACTTAAATGTTTTAAATTATTATGTAATATTTACATGTTACTCTGTCTTAAAATTTCGTATTAAGTATATCACCAGTATTATACAATTACTAGATATTAAAGGTAAATACAACAACTTCAGGTTGATTCTTTTTTTTTTTTAAAGATTTAATATATTTATTTGAGAGAGAGAGAGAGAGATCACAAGTAGGCAGAAAGGCAGGCAAAGAGAGAGGGAGAAGCAGGCTCCCTGCCGAGCAGACAGCCTGATGCTCTGCTCGATCCCAAGACCCTGAGATCATGACCTGAGCTGAAGGCAGAGGCTTAACCCACTGAGCCACCCAGGCACCCCCTTCAGGTTGATTCTAATGTAGTCCACAGACAGAACATGCACATGTTCTATCAAAATAATACAAATATGGGATTGGGAGGGAGATAAACCATAAGTGACTCTTAATCTCACAAAACAAACTGAGGGTTGCTGGGGGGAGGGGGGTTGGGAGGGGGGGGGTTATTATGGACATTGGGGAGGGTATGTGCTATGGTGAGTGCGGTGAAGTGTGTAAACCTGGCGATTCACAGACCTGTACCCCTGGGGAAAAAAATATATGTTTATAAAAAATAAATAAATAAATAAATAAATAAAAATGAGAAAAAAATATAATACAAATATAAGTCCCTTAAAAATAATACAATACTAGGGAGAGAGTGGTAATATGCTATATTCATTCAAAATTTTCTTTTTACTTCCTATCATTCCCTTCCAGTTTAAAAAAAAAAAAGTATGTCTACTATAAAAAAAATCCTAGGAGATAGGATTTTGTATTCTTCTTGTATTTTCTTTCAAAAAGAGATAAACATTTATGAAATAGCCACATAATATTTCAATTAAGATCATTCCCACTTGGTCCTTAGCGTTAAGATAGCTAGTAGTTTAGGGGCTGTAAAAGCAGTACAGAATACCGCAGTGGCAGATGTTAGCAGTATTAACTTGCCTAGTATTTTTCACTTTAACATTTATCAAGGAACTGCTTTAGCCTAAAGCCAGTGAACCCGAAAAGAGACACATGCAGGACATCAATACACAGAGCCTCACCGTATGCCAATACCTAGCTAGTTAAGTCAGCATCTACCATGCCTAGGCAACTACTTCATGTCCCATTTTATTTTGGGTTTCTTATTCCCCTTCCCTTCCATCAGGATTGGGGTCCTAGTCCATATAAGGTAATGTATAGTAATGCAAGATAAAAAAAAGAAATCTGGCCATGTATGGTATGAAGTGGCTACTTGCAACATGTGTTTGCAATTCCAATATACCTTACGTCCAGAAGGAAAGAAATAAGAGGAAGCTAGGGCTATAGCAATATCTTAATCCTTTGCCCCTTGGACAAATGGTACCTTAAACCACAAATTTAGTATCTGAAAAGACTTTAAATGTAAATATTCAATTACCTTTGTGCTATCCATTTCTGTTTCACATAAACACATTTTGGTATATACCTACCACAATTTCCAAAATAAAGCTTAAAGATTTATGTCTAAGCAAATGGTGTCAGAGGGTCAGATCTGGTAACAGCTATGTAATTCTCTTTTCCTCTGGTTTAGAGTGTAAATGCCAAAGCAAAAGGCAAAATATAAAAGCAAGGGCACCTGGGTGGCTCAATGGGTTAAGCCTCTGCCTTTGGCTGAGGTCATGATCTCAGGGTACTGGGATTGAGCCTCGCGTCGGGCTCTCTGCTCAGCAGGGAGCCTGCTTCCACCTCTCTGCCTACTTGTGATCTTTCTCCATCAAATAAATAAATAAAATCTTAAAAAAAAAATATATATATATATAAAAGCAAAAATGTCAGTAGGGATTTAAATATGCAAGAACTAATGGGCCTGAATACAGAAATTAGTGATCTTGAATGAATTTATTTCTGAACTATCTCCTAAAGGTTAGTTTATAAATCATTAAGAGCATGCAAGATGAAATTTAGGTTTGAAAGCACACAGATATGAAGATGTACATAGGCAAATAAGAAGCCTTCATTATAAACTGATATTAAAAAAACAAGTCTATACCTCCTTTCTCTCAAAGCCAAACCCTTTTTAATCAAATATTTAGAAACATCGACACGCTCTCCTTTTTCATCTCTGCAGAAAATTTTCACAGGTAATGGCCATGTTGTATTGTTTTCCTGCAGTGATTTAAGAGCAGAGTAAATATGAAACACTAAAAGGAAAACTTCAACAACATACTTCTTACAGGTATTTCCTCCACATTTATCCAAACCAGAAAAATAAATTTCCAGTCAAGTAAAGTTATTTTGATATCTTATCAGAGAGAAAAAACATGGGAGAGAGTCAAGGGGGACAGACAGTTGGTTTGTGAAATATGTCAGGAAGGCCTCCCTGCCAAGGAGAAACTTACCTAAGGGTGGGTGTGTGTAGGGGGAGCCCAATTAAAAACATTTTCAGCCGACAGTGGGCTAGGGAAATATCAGTTACAAATTTCTCTATTCTCCTAAACTCTTGGAAAATTACAGAACTGAAATGTGTTCTCCCAGGTGTGTCTTCTGTGTATGAATAGAAAGGAAGGAACTGCAAGACCTATATTCTGCTTTAAATGGAATTATGAAAATAGAAAAGGTATACATAGAAAAAGTAACATGAACAAATTACTTATTCAAGAAAATTCTAATCATTAATGCAATAAAAAGTATCAAATTAAAATAAAAGAATATGTCTAGGTGTTCTGAAAAAATATATTCTCTTCTCAAACCCCTATTCCTATAAACACATTTCTTTTTATGACATGCAATCAATATGATTTCACTAGAAGCCTAACTTCTCAGTTTGTAAAGAATAGAAGGCTTCCACAATGCACTCTAGCATACATACATTGTTTTTTTTTCATACATTGTTTTTTAACATGCAAATTATCGACTCAAGATTATTACTTTGGAGATGTTTTAATTCATACAATCATTATGGGGCATCTATTATCAAACAAATAATTTTTATCAAACAATTATCAAACAAATATATTTTGTGTTATAACAAAATAAGACAAAAAAAGAGGGCTGCCAAAAAAATCCAAATAATTTGCTGTTATCTTCTCAACAATGAAATATAGAACACATCAATGAAATAGTCATTACATATCTATTATAATTGCTTATTCCACTACACACCTGCAAGATTATAGTTGCTACAGCTCCAGTTAGGTACAATGAAAGACAGTCACAAGCTGTAGCTGTCCATTTGTCACTCCCACCAGTTGGTCTAAAACAACAATAAAAGACAACTTATTTTGTAATAAAGAGCATAACATATAGAAATATAAAAAAA